CCTTTAGTTTGAGGCTTCCATGTGATCTAACCGGATAACCCTACCCAATGACATTAATGGCCACTAATGATAGATAATGGGTTTCGGATAGACACTTAACTTGAATTTGTAGACAGCGTGTTGATAATGGTACACTTTTAGTTTCCATAACACTACGTCCAAGTAAATTTAACAGGAGCCGAATTTGCTCCCGTGTGAGCCTCTGGTCTAGTATAACAACAATAATGGCTGCCCTCCTTCCTCACTCTGACGCCTGGCTTACATTGTCCAGATTTCAGAAAGTGATAGAAGGGTCACATTTACTCTACTTTAATATTGATAATTAAGTTAATTTATATAAGATGTTTTTATGATGGTAAAGTCCAAAGACTAATGTATTTAAGAATAATTCCCAGCAGAATAGCTGGTGAATTATAATAGTATGTGGTGATGATATCCCGTTTTCTTTAGACGGTAATTCCACTACAAGTTACGTTTTCTATGGGTAACTTGTTTATACAACACAGCTATTATCTGTATGATATATTAAATGGTGTCGGATTTTCCGACAGGCCCCACACCTGCCACCACACACGAATCCTGGGCCCCACACCTGCTCCCGGAGACTACGGTAATGGCGTGGTGAAGGCGGACTCCACGAGGGACCTCCAAGTTGGCTATCCGGCTCCACACTCCATCTGGCCCTCAGATGGAGTGTGAGAGCCACTCCACAGCTTCCCCCTCCTCCCTTCTCCCCATCCTACACCTTATTCCCCCCCCCCCGCTCCTCACGCCTTGCCTCATTCTAAAGGACAGTCGCTGGGAAAAAATAGCGATTTGGTCTTAAGAATTGTGTGCTTGAGTTCCCTGGACCTTCTTAGACATTTAATTGAAATGTTGTTCTTATTTTTGTCTCCATTTTCAGGATGCCTAGTTCTTCCCTGCTCTCTCTCTCTCTCTCTCTCTCTCTCTCTCTCTCTCTCTGTCTGTCTCTCTCTCTCTCTCTGTCTCTGTCTCTCTCTCTCTCTCTCTCTCACTCTTTCTCCCGATCATCTCCTTCCCTGCCTCTCCCCTAACCATCTCCTATCCCCTTCACCCACCTACCTATTGCCTCATCCTCACTCAACCCTCCCCCAAACAGACCCCATCCTCCCCTCCTCCCGTCCCCTCTCACCCCCAATCCCGACTCTCCCTCTTCCCTTTCAGAAAATATTATATTACGGAGAAATGAAACAAATTTATTGGTTTAAAAAGTTATTTTATTAACATATTTAGGTACACCTGCATACGTGCAGTTTAAGAATTTTTTTTTCTGATGACGAAAAAGTCTTGGGACACCTGAGCGAATATTTAACACTTAACCAGAGTTGAATCACTGAGAATCGTGTGTGTGTGTGTGTGGGGGGGGGGGGGGGAGGAAGGAGAGGTGTGAATAATTAATAATTTCTTAAATCATTTAAGTTCGCCCTAGTTCGACCAGCCTATGTCGTCCCATACCCCAGATCATTTACCCTGCAAATTTAGGTAAGGCTAGTCCCTATAGCGTGAAGCCTCCAACTTCGGACACTCTCTTATATACTACATTATACTACATATCTAGTAGTTTTAGATTTTAGTTTTGATCTCCAAAGGGTTTGGAAAGATATAGTAGATCCCTTCAGATGTTACGGAGCCCGTGCAGGCGGGTGAGTAGTAGTACATTGTTGCAACGTCACTTGCACACACAGCGTCTTAGGACAGGTCACATAGGCTAATAAATAAGGGGAATGATAGGTACATTGAAACCGAATTTGAATTAATATGATAAAGAACTTCGGCATAAAGCGATTAAATACAATTATAATGATGAAGTTGTATTTCTACGTTATAATATTTGTGGGTGAGTGGGCACCTGAAGGTACTGTGCAGGCAGCCTCCTAAGGTTCCCCAACGTCAAGAAACTGTCGTACTAAAGTGCCCTTATCCTAAGCTACCAGAGGACCCAAAACAGAAAACGGAACAGTGTGTCAATTTCGCGAGCCGCTGTCATTTTCTAGTACGACAGTGTCTGGCCTCAGGTAGAGTATACGTCAAAATGCGACGTTCTATATTAGGAGGACGAGTTGTGAGAGTTGACAGCCCAAGGTGGCAAAATATGAAATTATGTAATTTTTAAATCTACTTTTGAACAGAGTATAAGTTGGACCAATTTTTCATTGATTAAGAAATAAGTTCTACGTATTGGGCGCTTTCATTGGCTTGACATGTTTACATAGATTTAGTCGGATTCTGGAATAAGGAAAAAGAGATATATATTTCTGGTACGGTGCTCATGGGTGCTATTACATCTATAAAGGAGGAGTTTTCAAACAGTATTAGAACGTTGTGTAAGGTGAGACGAATAGAATAGTGTTTTATAAGTGTAAGAAGCACAACAGCATGTGTTGCGTGTATATTTATCACGTTAAGGGATTTAATCAGAGGGCCGATGTGTTGTCTGATGGTAGAATTTGTTCTGATGTGTCTGTTTTTACAGTTCTGATGGATGATAGTTGCTGGGTGATGGCGGGCTTGTGGTAGTGTGCAGTGGTTGAACCCCCTCCCCCCTATCCCATCCATCCCGCCCATACACAGATACCATAAGTTAGAGATAGTTTGGGGAGGTGTGCAGTGTGAAAAGTGCAGAACGGGGACCATAATATTAGACTCTGGAGAGAATACCAACAGTTTTAGAGACTTTTCTGACGAAGTGTTTTATGTGAGCATTGAAGTTTAGTCTCTTGTTTATGTGTAGGACAAGAAACTTTCCCTCATTGTCACTATTAATGTTAACATTATCTATCTGAAGGTGAATTTGGTTTGATGATTTACTTCCAAATAAAATGTAGGTGGCATCTAGGTTTAGTTTAAGTTTGTAGTTGACATCTGTCGGAAAACCCGACACCATTTACAAACATTTAATACAATAGGCAGAAAATATTGCTGCTGTTTTGTAATAACAAATTAACTCATAGAAAATGTAACTCCAGTGGAAATTTTCTTGGAAGAAAACGGGGATATTATTGCCATATGTCGTCAGTAAATTCACCACCCATTAATGGGAAATCTTCTTAATACATCAGTCTTTCGACTGAAACATCATAAAAACACTTCCCTTGAACCAACTTAATTATCAGTACTAAAATAGATTAAATGTAGTTCCTCTTTCCCCTTCTTGGTAAAACACATCTGGACAAGATGCCGGACGCGTCAGTGGAGGAGAAGGCAGTTGCCATCTTATTAAATTTAACCACAAAGTCTCACATGGAGCTCACTTCAAGCTCCACACAATAGTGTCCATGGACGTAGTGTTATGGGATGTAAAGTGCTCCCATTACCAGAACGTTACTTCGTCTACAATAATGGAAGTGCTCTTTCCAACTCCTATCGTATCTAGCTATTGTTGGCCAATATTTGTAGATGTAGGAATACCGGTTAGGACACTAGGCGAGCAACAAAACAGAGTGAGCAATATTCTCATCTCTTTCAATAATAAATTATAATATTTCCCCTGATATAGCTGTCTGTTATGGTATCAACACCATCGCTAGTGTGTGGAGTGGCGATTTCGGCGCCATCTATGGACCTGCACTCCAACTCCCACGTATTAGATGAGACGCAGACAACGCCATCTGTTGGCGGTGGTGTGGCGTCGGTGAAAGGCTCCTGTTTCACACCTCAGTTATGAGGTGAAGTCGATGATAATGACCTCTGGTGGGTGGCATAACGATATCAACGCCATCTACATTGTGAATTAAATTATGAATATCTATCAATCGTGAATATGTTGCTAGAGACTTTTGCCAGGGTGTTAGCTACCCCTGTACGTGATTATTTGAGGCCCCAGTCAGCGTGTTGCTGAAACCCTCTGCCAGTGTGTATCTGGAGAGCGCATGTAGGGTATTGGGACATCGTGATGATAGGGTGTGTGGACTGGCCCATGTTGAGGAAGGTGAACTAGCCGGTGATTGCCACTGCGCGTACGACGTGTACCTGGACGTAGTGGACTTGCCGGGATTTGATGAACACTGCAGGTCTATTGAGTGTCCTGAGCGAAAACGACACAGTGTAAATATGTGTACTAATACTTATAGATATAATATATATATATATAGTGGTGAAGATGATAATATATTGTTGAAGGTGTAATTGCATATTGTTTACCCCCTCCCCTCCCACCCCCATTATTCTTCACACTACTACTTGCCACCGCCAGTTCTTGAAAACTTACCATCAACTTGGGGGTAGGATCAAGAAGAAGAGTTTATAAGACACGTTAACAGAGAGAACCCCGTTACTGGCCCAAGCTGACCGTAACACTGTCATATAGAGGTTACTATTATTATTGAGTGCCGTTTAACAGGTGTAATTGAAAGGGAAGAATTAACAATTACGTAGGTGAGCCTCACCCACCTGAGGAGTTGCGACTGACGTGTTTCATCCGTGTTCATACCTGGTTGTCAAGGCCATCATCAACTCTACAGATAAGCTCTATTCAATTTTGTTACTAACATATATTGTCTTATACTGTAGTATCTGCTAATCAATAATTTTGATTGCTAGACTATATATATAATTAATAACCCCCCCAGAGTGTGTAGGAAACGATTTGTGGGAATAAAATCATACAGTCACTTTAAACATCATAGAGTCCACTACGAAAATAAATAATTTAATGAAATAAATAAATTACTATACACATTAATATAAATTAATAAATAAATCTCACAAGTCAGTTTCCCCCCACAACATCCATGAATGTAATTTCCTTAAGTTGTTGTTTACAATATTATTTAGAGTAAGTGAACTGAGGTTTGAAAAGATGAAGGAAGTATCATTAGTAAATAATATAGGTTTAAGAACGTTAAGAGACGTTTGGTAAGTCACTGATTTTCATCACAAATGGGAGAGGGCGGAGGACGTTGCCTTCCTGCCATCAATAGTAGAACGGGAGAGATTACGTCATTGATAATCACCTGTTGGCGTCTCTTGTCGAAATATGATTAGATATAGTTCAGAGTAAGGCTTCGAATTCCATAGAGATCAAGTTTAAGTTGGAAGTCATTATGATTTACGGCATCAAAGGCCCTTCTCAGGTTAGTGATGAGGCCAATTGAGAACTTATTTTTGTCAAGGTCTGTGTAGATTATATCATGCAAACTATTAAAGACATCAGTGGTAGTCTTTTGAGATCTGAAGCAAGAAGAACTAGGTGAATACAACTAGGTGAATACACACACACACACAGTGTCTGGTATTTGAGTGGACAGCGCCCTGGACTCATAATCCTAGGGTCCGGGTTCAATCCTGTGTTAAGTATATATATATATATATATATATATATATATATATATATATATATATATATATATATATATATATATATATATATATATAATGTCGTACCTAATAGCCAGAACTCACTTCTCAGCCTACTATGCGAGGCCCGATTTGCCTAATAGGCCAAGTTTTACTGAATTAATATATTTTCTCTAATTTTTTTCTTATGAAATGATAAAGCTACCCATTTCATTATGTATGTGGTAATTTTTTTTTTTTTTGGAGTTAAAATTAACGTAGATATATGACCGAACCTAACCATCCCTACCTAACCTAACCTAACCTATCTTTATAGTTTAGGTTAGGTTAGGTAGCCGAAAAAGTTAGGTTAGGTTAGGTTAGGCAGGTTAGGTAGTCGAAAAAACATTAATTCATGAAAACTTGGCTTATTAGGCAAATCGGGCCTTGCATAGTAGGCTGAGAAGTGCGTTCTGGCTACTAGGTACGACATATATATATATATATATATATATATATATATATATATATATATATATATATACATATGTCGTACCTAGTAGCCAGAACTCACTTTTTGGCCCACTATGCAAGGCCCGATTTGCCTAATAAGCCAAGTTTTCCTGAATTAATATATTTTTTCTAATTTTTTTCTTATGAAATGATAAAGCTACCCATTTCATTATGTATGAGGTCAATTTTTTTTTTTGGGGTTAAAATTAACGTAGATATATGACCGAACCTAACCAACCCTACCTAACCTAACCTAACCTATCTTTATAGGTTAGGTTTGGTTAGGTAGCCGAAAAAGTTAGGTTAGGTTAGGTTAGGTAGGTTAGGTAGTCGAAAAACAATTAATTCATGAAAACTTGGCTTATTAGGCAAATCGGGCCTTGTATAGTAGGCCAAAAAGTGAGTTCTGGCTACTAGGTACGACACATATATATATATATATATATATATATATATATATATATATATATATATATATATATATATATATATATATATATATATATATATCTTAAGCCCGGTGCCCTTAACTTGTATACCATGCAAGGTGATGGAGAAGATCGTGAGAAAAAGCCTGGTAGCACATGTGGAGAGAAGAGACTTTGTAACACGTCACCAGCATGGGTTTAGGGAAGGCAAGTCGTGTTTCACAGGTTTAATAGTATTCTGTGACCAAGCAACAAGCATTAAGCAAGAAAGAGATTGATGGGTAGACTGCATTTTCTTGAACTCTCAGAAAGCTTTTGACACAGCACCCCATAAGAGGCTTTTGAATAAGTTGGAGAAACAAGCTGGAGTAAGTGGTAGGGTGCTCCAGTGGATAAGAGAGTACATAAACAACAGGAAGGAGAGAGTTACTGTGAGGGGATGAGACCTCCGACTGGCGTGATGTTACCAGCGGTGTCCCACAGGGCTCTGTACTCGGACCTATCTTGTTTCTGATATTCGTGAATGATCTTCCAGAAGGTATAGACTCATTTCTCTCAATACTAGCTGATGATGCTAAAATTATGAGAAGGATTAAGACAGATGAGAACAGCAAGATACTATAAAATGAACAAAATTATAGGTTGAATGAATGGTCCAACAAATGGATACTAGATTTAGACTCAAGTAAATGTAAAGTTATGAAGGGAGCAGGAAGCCAAAAACAAGGTACCAGTAGGGATATGAAATCCTTCAGGAATCAGGAAGAGAGAAAGATCTGTGGGTTGATATCACACCAAAACTGTCACCTGATGCTCACATCAAAAGTATAACATCAGCGGTGTATGCAAGGCTGGCAAATATAAGAACTGAGTACTGAAACTTGTGTAAGGAATCATTCAGAAACATGTATTCCACATATGTCAGACCAATAGTGGAGTATGCGGCTCCAGAGTGGATTCCACATTTAGTAAAAACAGGAAGTCAGAAAAGGTTCAGAGGAATGCCACCAAGCTAGTCCCCGAGCTGAGAGGAATGAGCTACGAGGAGAGACTATTGGAATTAAACCTCACGACACAGGAAGACAGAAGAGTTAAGGGGAAACATGACCACCACCTAAAAAATTCTCAAGTTAATTGACAGGGTAGAAAAATTTAACTGTTTAACATGGGGGTACGCGAACAAGGGGACACAGGTGGAAACTGAGGACCCAAATGAGCCACAGGAACGTTAGAAAGAACTTTTTCAGAGTCAGAGTAGTTAACAAAGGGAAATTGCATTAGAAGAAGATGTGGCGGAGGCTGACTCCATACACAGTTTCAAGTGTAGATATGATAGAGCCCAATAGGCTCAGGAACCTCTACACCAGTTGATTGACAGTTGAGAGGCGGGACCAAAGAGTCAGAGCTCAGCCCCCGCAACCACAACTAGGTGAGTACAGAGAGAAATACAGAATAAAATTAAAGAAGAAAACTTTAGAGACTCAGGAGATAATAAAAGTGGAAGGGACGCAACACAGCGAGGAACTCACTCATAAACATCAGATGAGAATCACAAAAGACGCCGTAAATGACATTTCATTATGAGTAAAGTTAACCTACATAGTCTTATGTAAGGGTTACTACATAGTCACATGTGAGGGTTACCACATAGTCACATGTGAGGGTTACCACATAGTCATATGTGAGGGTTACCACATAGTCACATGTGAGGGTTACCACATAGTCACATGTGAGGGTTACCACATAGTCATATGTGAGGGTTACCACATAGTCACATGTGAGGGTTACCACATAGTCACATGTGAGGGTTACCACATAGTCACATGTGAGGGTTACCACATAGTCACATGTAAGGGTTACCACATAGTCACATGTGAGGGTTACCACATAGCAATATGTGAGGGTTACCACATAGTCACATGTGAGGGTTACCACATAGTCACATGTGAGGGTTACCACATAGTCACATGTGAGGGTTACCACATAGTCACATGTGAGGGTTACCACATAGTCACATGTGAGGGTTACCACATAGTCACATGTGAGGGTTACCACATAGTCACATGTGAGGGTTACCACATAGTCACATGTGAGGGTTACCACATAGTCACATGTGAGGGTTACCACATAGTCACATGTGAGGGTTACCACATAGTCACATGTGAGGGTTACCACATAGTCATATGTGAGGGGAAAATGTGAGGAAATGACCCAATAACTACGTTATGCTTCCCCTCACTCTCACGTCCTCCCCTCCCATCACTGACGGGTCCTTCCCTCCAGAGCAAGGTGATTGATGAATGGATGGATGGAAAGGTTAGGGAGGACACACCTGAGTCAGGTGTGGGTGTAGGGATGGACACACCTGAGTCAGGTGTGGGTGTAGGGAGGACACACCTGAGTCAGGTGTGGGTGTAGGGACGGACACACCTGAGTCAGGTGTGGGTGTAGGGATGGACACACCTGAGTCAGGTGTGGGTGTAGGGAGGACACACCTGAGTCAGGTGTGGGTGTAGGGATGGACACACCTGAGTCAGGTGTGGGTGTAGGGACGGACACACCTGAGTCAGGTGTGGGTGAAGGGACGGACACACCTGAGTCAGGTGTGGGTGTAGGGACGGACACACCTGAGTCAGGTGTGGGTGTAGGGACGGACACACCTGAGTCAGGTGTGGGTGTAGGGACGGCCACAGGGGTGCTCACAGGGGAGAGTAACCCTCCAATATGCTGGGCGTCGGGGCCAGTATTTACAAGAGTTCAGAGACAACCATTGAGAGAGAAGACTGTAAATATTGAGTAATAGTGAGCGAGGAAGGTAACCCCGCAGGTTACTGACTTCCAAACTTGATGAAGTCAAAATAAAGATTAGTGATATAAAAATCTGTAAAGAATATTTGAAAATGATCTATTAAGAATTTAAACTAAAAGGTAAATAAGAAAACTTTCTTTGCATAAGAGAGAGAGAGAGAGAGAGAGAGAGAGAGAGAGAGAGAGAGAGAGAGAGAGAGAGAGAGAGAGAGAGAGGAGGGAGGGGGGGGAGAGAGAGAGAGAGAGAGAGAGAGAGAGAGAGAGACAGAGAGAGAGAGAGAGAGAGAGAGAGAGACTGTTAATCCATACAGTAGACAAGTGTTGTAGGAAGAGTTAATAACGCAATATTCATTTTGGGAAATGTTTTTTTTATCGTTGTTGTACATGGCAGGTGTTTTGTTATCCAGAGCAGGTGTTTCGTTATCCAGAGCAGGTGTTTTGTTATCCAGAGCAGGTGTTTTGTTATCCAGAGCAGGTGTTTCGTTATCCAGGGCAGGTGTTTTGTTATCCAGAGCAGGTGTTTTGTTATCCAGAGCAGGTGTTTCGGTATCCAGGGCAGGTGTTTCGTTATCCAGGGCAGGTGTTTTGTTATCCAGAGCAGGTGTTTTGTTATCCAGAGCAGGTGTTTCGGTATCCAGGGCAGGTGTTTCGTTATCCAGGGCAGGTGTTTTGTTATCCAGAGCAGGTGTTTTGTTATCCAGAGCAGGTGTTTCGTTATCCAGGGCAGGTGTTTTGTTATCCAGAGCAGGTGTTTTGTTATCCAGAGCAGGTGTTTCGTTATCCAGGGCAGGTGTTTCGTTATCCAGGGCAGGTGTTTTGTTATCCAGGGCAGGTGTTTCGTTATCCAGAGCAGGTGTTTCGTTATCCAGGGCAGGTGTTTCGTTATCCAGGGCAGGTGTTTTGTTATCCAGGGCAGGTGTTTCGTTATCCAGGGCAGGTGTTTCGTTATCCAGGGCAGGTGTTTCGTTATCCAGGGCAGGTGTTTTGTTATCCAGGGCAGGTGTTTCGTTATCCAGGGCAGGTGTTTCGTTATCCAGAGCAGGTGTTTTGTTATCCAGGGCAGGTGTTTTGTTATCCAGGGCAGGTGTTTTGTTATCCAGGGCAGTTGTTTTGTTATCCAGAGCAGGTGTTCTGTTATCCAGAGCAGGTGTTTTGTTATCCAGGGCAGGTGTTTTGTTATCCAGGGCAGGTGTTTCGTTATCCAGAGCAGGTGTTCTGTTATCCAGAGCAGGTGTTTTGTTATCCAGGGCAGGTGTTTTGTTATCCAGGGCAGGTGTTTCGTTATCCAGAGCAGGTGTTTTGTTATCCAAGGCAGGTGTTTCGTTATCCAAGGCAGGTGTTTCGTTATCCAGGGCAGGTGTTCGTTATCCAGGGCAGGTGTTTCGTTATCCAGGGCAGGTGTTCGTTATCCAGGGCAGGTGTTCGTTATCCAGGGCAGGTGTTTCGTTATCCAGGGCAGGTGTTCGTTATCCAGGGCAGGTGTTCGTTATCCAGGGCAGGTGTTCGTTATCAAGGGCAGGTGTTCGTTATCCAGGGCAGGAGTTCGTTATCCAGGGCAGGTGTTCGTTATCCAGGGCTGGTGTTTCGTTATCCAGGGCAGGTGTTCTGTTATCCAGGGCAGGTGTTCGTTATCCAGGGCAGGTGTTTCGTTATCCAGAGCAGGTGTTTTGTTATCCAAGGCAGGTGTTTCGTTATCCAAGGCAGGTGTTTCGTTATCCAGGGCAGGTGTTCGTTATCCAGGGCAGGTGTTTCGTTATCCAGGGCAGGTGTTCGTTATCCAGGGCAGGTGTTCGTTATCCAGGGCTGGTGTTTCGTTATCCAGGGCCGATGTTCGTTATTCAGGGCAGGTGTTTCGTTATCCAGGGCCGGTGTTCGTTATCCAGGGCAGGTGTTTCGTTATCCAGGGCAGGTGTTCGTTATCCAGGGCAGGTGTTCGTTATCCAGGGCAGGTGTTCGTTATCAAGGGCAGGTGTTCGTTATCCAGGGCAGGAGTTCGTTATCCAGGGCAGGTGTTCTGTTATCCAGGGCAGGTGTTCGTTATCCAGGGCAGGTGTTCGTTATCCAGGGCAGGTGTTCGTTATCCAGGGCAGGTGTTCGTTATCCAGGGCAGGTGTTCTGTTATCCAGGGCAGGTGTTTTGCATTGTCGTTCTCTGCACCTACAGTATTTACTTTCGTTTTTGTAGAAGAGAATGTGTGGCTGTTGTGTGGCTGTTGTGCAGCTGTTGTGCAGCTGTTGTGTGGCTGTTGTGTGGCAGTTGTGTGGCTGTTGTGTGGCTGTTGTGCAGCTGTGTGCAGCTGTTGTGCAGCTGTTGTGCAGCTGTTGTGTGGCTGTTGTGTGGCAGTTGTGTGGCTGTTGTGTGGCTGTTGTGCAGCTGTTGTGCAGCTGTTGTGCAGTTGTTGTGTGGCTGTTGTGTGGCAGTTGTATGGCTGTTGTGTGGCTGTTGTGTGGCAGTTGTGTGGCTGTTGTGCAGCTGTTGTGTGGCTGTTGTGTGGCTGTTGTGTGGCTGTTGTGTGGCTGTTGTGTGGCAGTTGTGTGGCTGTTGTGCAGGTGTTGTGCAGGTGTTGTGCAGCTGTTGTGCAGCTGTTGTGTGGCTGTGGTGCAGCTGTTGTGTGGCTGTGGTGCAGCTGTTGTGTGGCTGTTGTGCAGGTGTTGTGCAGCTGTTGTGTGGCTGTGGTGCAGCTGTTGTGTGGCTGTTGTGCAGGTGTTGTGCAGCTGTTGTGTGGCTGTGGTGCAGCTGTTGTGCAGCTGTTGTGCAGGTGTTGTGCAGCTGTTGTGCAGCTGTTGTGTGGCTGTGGTGCAGCTGTTGTGCAGGTGTTGTGCAGCTGTTGTGCAGGTGTTGTGCAGCTGTTGTGTGGCTGTTGTGCAGGTGTTGAGTAGCTGTTGTGCAGGTGTTGTGTGACTGTTGTGCAGCTGTTGTACAGGTGTTGTGCAGGTGTTCACTACACTAAACAATACACCCCGACACTCTTCACAACGTTGCTCGGGACAATGCCAATGTAAACATTGACGTTATCTCCAGCGGTGTTAACAAGAGAACCAACAAAACACACACAGTCACACTGACGTTCATATATATCGATGCCAAAATCCACTGTGGCTGTGAGGAGGGCGCGAACCCGCGACCACGGCATTGCCAGCTATGAACTCTACCACTACAGACAACGGTTGAACGACGTTCTCGCTTCATGCAGATCTGCGTTCAATCCCCGACCGTCCAAGTGGTTGGGCACCATTCCGTCCCCCCGTCCCATCACAAATCCTTATCCTGACCCCTTCCAAGTGCTATATAGTGGTAATGGCTCGGCGCTTTGCCCTGATAATTAACAATTAATTACCACTATAGACAGAATGTATGACTTCTAAAAGTCATGGTGGTCTAGGGGTAGAGTGTGTGGATGGGAATGCCGCGGTCGCGGGTTCGCGCCCGCCTCACAGCCCTAGTGGATTTTCTCTGAACTACGAATGTCAGCGGTGCAGACAAGCTGGCAAGACCCCACACATAACGCTTCCCTGCTCCTGTCAACGCACTCCGGCCTTCCTTGAGAACACTCAGAGGAGAATAGCGAACTTTTTACATGCTAATAGTAATATATATATATTTTTTTAATAAAGACAGAATGAGGACATTGTCAGTACGCGTTGGGTAGTGGAACAGTCAAGGGATAGTTGACGGAGCGTTTAAAACATATTAACAGTGAGGTGAACAACAAGTGTTCACAATAACAACTCGAGAGGTCTGAACAAAGCATCGTTCTGAGATCACTCTGAGACGAGAAGCACAAGTTACTCCGGACAACACCTTCACAACATGTGACAAATGTTTGACAAAAGTACTTTTACTCAATTTCCTCTCACTGACGAGGTTATTCATAGGGACACACAGACATCGTATTGTCACATCAGTACGATAGTGGACACTCAACCAGTATACATACATTATACATACATTCTCTTGTATCTTCCTGAGACAGAGTTAGAGATCTGGTGCTCTACTGCATAGTAGAGCACCAGTGAATAGTATACGCTCTAGAGCAGAGTGAGAGCGAGGCCCGTGCTGGGCCTGAAACACTTGTGTGTAAACAGACTTGCCTTCTGTGGCCTTCCAGGCGCTCTGGTGTGTTCCACCATCCTTCTGGTGTGTTCCACCATCCATCTGGAGTGTTCCACCATCCTTCTGGAGTGTTCCACCATCCTTCTGGAATGTTCCACCATCCTTATGGAGTGTTCCACCATCCTTCTGGAGTGTTCCACCATCCTTCTGGAGTGTTCCACCATCCTTCTGGAGTGTTCCACCATCCTTCTGGAGTGTTCCACCATTCTTCTGGAGTGTTCCACCATCCTTCTGGAGTGTTCCACCATCCATCTGGTGTGTTCCACCATCCTTCTGGAGTGTTCCACCATCTTTCTGGAGTGTTCCACCATCCATCTGGTGTGTTCCACCATCCTTCTGGAGTGTTCCACCATCCTTCTGGAGTGTTCCACCATCCATCTGGTGTGTTCCACCATCCTTCTGGAGTGTTCCACCATCCTTCTGGAGTGTTCCACCATCCTTATGGAGTGTTCCACCATCCATCTGGTGTGTTCCACCATCCTTCTGGAGTGTTCCACCATCCTTCTGGAGTGTTCCACCATCCTTATAGAGTGTTCCACCATCCTTCTGGAGTGTTCCACCATCCTTCTGGAGTGTTCCACCATCCTTCTGGAGTGTTCCACCATCCTTATGGAGTGTTCCACCATCCATCTGGTGTGTTCCACCATCCTTCTGGAGTGTTCCACCATCCTTCTGGAGTGTTCCACCATCCTTATGGAGTGTTCCACCATCCTTCTGGAGTGTTCCACCATTCTTCTGGAGTGTTCCACAATCCTTCTGGTGTGTTCCACCATCCTTCTGGAGTGTTCCACCATCCTTCTGGAATGTTCCACCATCCTTCTGGAGTGTTCCACCATCCTTCTGGTGTGTTTCACCATCCTTCTGGAGTGTTCCACCATCCATCTGGTGTGTTCCACCATCCTTCTGGAGTGTTCCACCATCCTTCTGGAGTGTTCCACCATCCTTATGGAGTGTTCCACCATCCATCTGGTGTGTTCCACCATCCTTCTGGAGTGTTCCACCATCCTTCTGGAGTGTTCCACCATCCTTCTGGAGTGTTCCATCATCCTTCTGGAGTGTTCCACCATCCTTCTGGTGTGTTTCACCATCCTTCTGGAGTGTTCCACCATCCATCTGGTGTGTTCCACCATCCTTCTGAAGTGTTCCACCATCCTTCTGGAGTGTTCCACCATCCTTATGGAGTGTTCCACCATCCATCTGGTGTGTTCCACCATCCTTCTGGAGTGTTCCACCATCCTTCTGGAGTGTTCCACCATCCTTATGGAGTGTTCCACCATCCTTCTGGAGTGTTCCACCATCCTTCTGGAATGTTCCACCATCCTTCTGGAGTGTTCCACCATCCTTCTGGTGTGTTCCACCATCCTTCTGGAGTGTTCCACCATCGATCTGGTGTGTTCCACCATCCTTCTGGAGTGTTCCACCATCCTTCTGGAGTGTTCCACCATCCTTCTGGAGTGTTCCACCATCCTTATGGATGTTCCACCATCCTTCTGGAGTGTCCCACCATCCTTCTGGAGTGTTCCACCATCCTTCTGGAGTGTTCCACCATCCTTCTGGAGTGTTCCACATCCTTCTGGAGTGTTCCACCATCCTTCTGGAGTGTTCCACCATCCTTCTGGTGTGTTCCACCATCCTTCTGGAGTGTTCCACCATCCTTCTGGAGTGTTCCACCATCCTTCTGGTGTGTTCCACCATCCTTCTGGAGTGTTCCACCATCCATCTGGTGTGTTCCACCATCCTTCTGGAGTGTTCCACCATCCTTCTGGAGTGTTCCACCATCCTTATGGAGTGTTCCACCATCCATCTGGTGTATTCCACCATCCTTCTGGAGTGTTCCACAATCCTTCTGGAGTGTTCCACCATCCTTATGGAGTGTTCCACCATCCTTCTGGAGTGTTCCATCATCCTTCCGGAGTGTTCCACCATCCTTCTGGTGTGTTCCACCATCCTTTTGGAGTGTTCCACCATCCTTTTGGAATGTTCCACCATCCTTCTGGAGTGTTCCACCATCCTTCTGGTGTGTTCCACCATCCTTCTGGAGTGTTCCACCATCCTTCTGGAGTGTTCCACCATCCTTCTGGAGTGTTCCACCATCCTTCTGGTGTGTTCCACCATCCTTCTGGAGTGTTCCACCATCCTTCTAGTGTGTTCCACCATCCTTCTGGAGTGTTCCATTATCCTTCTGGAGTGTTCTACCATCCTTCTGGAGTGTTCCACCATCCTTCTGGAATGTTCCACCATCCTTCTGGAGTGTTCCACCATCCTTCTGGTGTGTTCCACCATCCTTCTGGAGTGTTCCACCATCCTTCTGGAGTGTTCCACCATCCTACTGGAGTGTTCCACCATCCTTCTGGAATGTTCCACCATCCTTCTGGAGTGTTCCACCATCCTTCTGGTGTGTTCCACCATCCTTCTGGTGTGTTCCACCCTCCTTCTGGAGTGTTCCACCATCCTTCTGGTGTGTTCCACCATCCTTCTGGAGTGTTCCACCATCCTTCTGGTGTGTTCCACCATCCTTCTGGAGTGTTCCACCATCCTTCTGGTGTGTTCCACCATCCTTCTGGAGTGTTCCACCATCCTCCTGGAGTGTTCCACCATCCTTCTGGAATGTTCCACCATCCTTATGGAGTGTTCCACCATCTTTCTGGTGTGTTCCACCATCCATGTGGAGTGTTCCACCATCCTTATGGAGTGTTCCACTATCCTTCTGGAGTGTTCCACCATCCTTCTGGAGTGTTCCACCATCCTTCTGGAGTGTTCCACCATCCTTCTGGAGTGTTCCACCATCCTTCTGGAGTGTTCCACCATCCTTCTGGATTGTTCCACTATCCTTCTGGAGTGTTCCACCATCCATCTGGAGTGTTCCACCATCCTTCTGGTGTGTTCCACCATCCATCTGGAGTGTTCCACCATCCTTCTGGTGTGTTCCACCATCCTTCTGGAGTGTTCCACCATCCTTATGGAGTGTTCCACCATCCTTCTGGAGTGTTCCACCATCCTTCTGGAGTGTTCCACCATCTTTATGGAGTGTTCCATTATCCTTCTGGAGTGTTCCACCATCCTTCTGGAGTGTTCCACCATCCTTCTGGAGTGTTCCACCATCCATCTTGAGTGTTCCACCATCCTTCTGGAGTGTTCCACCATCCTTCTGGAGTGTTCCACCATCCTTCTGGTGTGTTCCACCATCCTTCTGGAGTGTTCCAATATCCTTCTGGAGTGTTCCATTATCCTTCTGGAGTGTTCCACTCTCCTTCTGGAGTGTTCCACTATCCTTCTGGAGTGTTCCACCATCCTTCTGGAGTGTTCCACCATCCTTCTGGAATGTACCACCATCCTTCTGGAGTGTTCCACTATCCTTCTGGAGTGTTCCACTATCCTGCTGGAGTGTTCCACCATCCTTCTGGAGTGTTCCACCATACTTCTGGAGTGTTCCACCATCTTTCTGGAGTGTTCCACCATCCTTCTGGTGTGTTCCACCATCCTTCTGGAGTGTTCCACTATCCTTCTGGAGTGTTCCACCATCCTTCTGGAGTGTTCCACCATCCTTCTGGAGTGTTCCACTATCCTTCTGGAGTGTTCCACTATCCTTCTGGAGTGTTCCACCATCCTTCTAAAGTGTTCCACTATCCTTCTGGAGTGTTCCACTATCCTTCTGGAGTGTTCCACTATCCTTCTGGAGTGTTCCACCATCCTTCTGGAGTGTTCCACCATCCTTCTGGAGTGTTTCACCATCCTTCTGGAGTGTTCCACCATCCTTCTGGAATGTTCCACCATCCTTATGGAGTGTTCCACCATCCTTCTGGAGTGTTCCAACATCCTTCTGGAGTGTTCCACCATCCTTCTGGAGTGTTCCACCATCTTTCTGGAGTGTTCCACCATCTTTCTGGCGTGTTCCAGTATCCTTCTGGAGTGTTCCACCATCCTTCTAGAGTGTTCCACCATCCTTCTGGAGTGTTCCACCATCCTTCTAGAGTGTTCCACCATCCTTACGGAATGTACTCCTAGCCTCACCCTTGCTGGCCCCAGACACTCCTAGCCTCACCCTTGCTGGCCCCAGACACTCCTAACTTCACCCTTGTTGGCCCCAGACACTCCTAGCCTCACCCTTGCTGGCCCCAGACACTCCTAGCCTCACCCTTGTTGGCCCCAGACACTCCTAGCCTCACCCTTGCTAGCACCAGACACTCCTAACTTCACCCTTGCTGGCCCCAGACACTTCTAACCTCACCCTTGCTGGCCCCAGACACTCCTAACTTCACCCTTGCTGGCCCCAGACACTCCTAGCCTCACCATTGCTAGCACCAGACACTCCTAACTTCACCCTTGCTGGTCCCAGACACTTCTAACCTCACCCTTGCTGGCCCCAGACACTCCTAACTTCACCCTTGCTGGCCCCAGACACTCCTAGCCTCACCATTGCTAGCCCCAGACACTCCTAGCCTCACCCTTGCCTGCCCCAGACACTCCTAACTTCACCCTTGTTGGCCCCAGACACTCCTAGCCTCACCCTTGCTAGCACCAGACACTCCTAACTTCACCCTTGTTGGCCCCAGACACTCCTAGCCTCACCCTTGTTTGCACCAGACTCTCCTAGCCTCACCCTTGCTAGCACCAGACACTCCTAGCCTCACCCTTGCTAGCCCCAGACACTCCTAGCCTCACCCTTGCTGGCCCCAGACACTCCTAGCCTCACCCTTGCTGGTCCCAGACACTCCTAACTTCACCCTTTCTAGCCCCAGACACTCCTAACTTCACCCTTGCTGGCCCCAGACACTCCTAGCCTCACCCTTGCTAGCACCAGACACTCTTAGCCTCACCCTTGCTAGCCCCAGACACTCCTAACTTCACCCTTTCTAGCCCCAGACACTCCTAACTTCACTCTTGCTGGCCCCAGACACTCCTAGCCTCACCCTTGCTGGTCCCAGACACTCCTAACTTCACCCTTTCTAGCACCAGACACTCCTAGCCTCAACCTTGCTAGCCCCAGACACTCCTAGCCTCACCCTTGCTGGCCCCAGACACTCCTTGCCTCACCTTTGCTAGCCCCAGACACTCCTAGCTTCACCTTTGCTAGCCCCAGGCTCTCCTAGCCTCACACAGCCTCCCCAGCAGGGCCTCCGTCCCCCACTGTTGCCTCAGAGGAAGAGACTTCAATAGCGGCGAAGCTCTGAAGCATTAGCAAAATGAGTCTCTTTCTGTGTGTGGGTGTGTGTGGGAGGATGAGAGCGGGGCGACCAAGATGGGTGTGTGGGAGGATGATAATGGGGTGGCCAAGATGAGTGTAGGTGTGTGGCAGGATGAGAGCTGGGCAGTCAAGGTGTGTGTGGGTGTGTGGGAGGATGAGAGAGGGGTGGTCAAGGTAAGTAAGTAATTATCAAAAGAAGGCACCAAACCGGGAAGGCTATGTACCATCAAATGTGCAGGATAATCAGAGGTCGCTAAATATCACCAAGGATGCCAATACGAGAACAGAAACGCATAAGACGAACAATATCAAAAGTATCCGATTCACCAAGAATTCTATCGAGGGACAATTGACCGCGAGGGAGTGTTGGAAAGCAAGAGGCACACTGGTCCTGGAAGACAGGACATTCAACAAGAATATGCACGACCGTAAGAGGAACAATGCAATTTTGACAATAAGGAGCAGGACGGCGCTCCATTAAGTGACCATGAATTAAACGTGTATGGCCAGTAACCTAGCTAGAGCCGTTTCCCATCGCCGGTTACGGTGATAGGAGGAAGGCCACAGGGACACACACGACTCTTAAGAGTACGCAGTTTGTTACCAGTAACAGAAGACCAACAACCCTGCCAACGGGCAAGGATGGAGGAATAAATAACTGGGTAAAAGTCGGAATAAGGAATACCTCTACGGGAGATGGGACAAGTGCAGATTGCCTCTTTAGCGGCAGCATCCGCACGCTCATTTAAAGAGACACCAACATGGCTGGGAACCCAGCAAAACTCTACCGACTTAAATTTACTAGAGATAAGAAACAGCCAATGTTGAATCTCGATGACCACCCAGTGGACTGAATTAAAGGACCCCAAAGCCATGAGGGCACTACGAGAGTCGACTACCACCACAAAGGAGGATTGACAACAAGAAAGCAGGAGACGAGGAGCCTAGAGAATAGCATAAAGTTTTGCTGTGAAGATGCTAGCCTCCGGAGGAAGGCGACACATATAAGTGTGGTCAGGAAAACAACAGAGTAGCCCACACCATCAACAGACTTAGACCCATCGGTGAAGATGGAAACGGAGTGAGAGTTTGAAGAAAAGTGCTCAATGAAATTTGGGAAGGGGGACCCTCCACGGGGGGCAAAGATGGAACAATACGAGGAGAAACATTGGTAATACGAACTGAAAGAGAATCTTGTAAGCTAGACAAACGGACAGAAAGAGGAAGGTGGTGAAAAGGAACAGGAACTCCAGGAGGGTTAAAAGTCAAAGCACAACAGAGGCGAGAGTGAGGATGCTGTAAGGATCATGCAAGATAGCGAAGACAGTAGCGATCATGGCGGTCCTGGAGAGTTAGGAAGCCAGTGTCAGTGTACAAGCTGAGGGTAGAAGTTGAACGAAAGGCACCAGAGCTGAGGCGCAACCCAGTATGGGGCAAAGGATCAAGACGGCAAAGAGTAGAAGGAGAAGCAGAAGAGTATGCCGGGCAACCATAATCGAGTTTAAAGAGGACGAGAGGAGTGCAAACAGAGGAGCGTGCGCCTATCCACTCCCCAAGAAGTAATGGCAGAAGACCATTGAGGCTAACCAGAAAAAGAGTAGTGTTCAGAAAACTACCTTGGGGCACACCTTCGTATTGCCGAAAAGAGGCAGAGAGAGTGGTATCAAGCCTGACTCGAAAGGAACGATGAGAGAGGAAGCTTTGGAGGAAGAGAGGGAGATTACCTCAATGGCCAAAAGAACGAAGTTGGGACAGAAAATGTTATCTGCAGGTTGTCTCATAAGCCTTCTACTGGTCAAAAAAACAGCAACAATGGAGGTCTTCGCAGCAAAAGCAGTACGAATATAGACCTTCAAGTTCACCAGGACATCTGTTGTGCTGCGGCACTTGCGAAAACCAAATTGAGAAGGTGAGAGGTGGTGATGGTGTTCCAAGAACCACATCAGACGAACATTTACCATACGCTCAAAGAGTTTGCAGAAACAACTTATGAGCTCAATAGGGCGGAAGTTCTTAGGGGATGTCCCGAGAGACCCTGGTTTCCGAGTAGGAAGTACAACGGCATCGAGCCAGTCCTCAGGGACTGACGACAACTCCCAGACCTCGTTATACAGACTCAGTAAATACCGAGACGTGCAAGGAGGGAGATGGCGAAGCATCTCATAATGAATGTCATCCGAGCCTGCTGCCATAGAACCGCAGAGGGCCAGGGCTGAAGTTCAGAGAGAGAGAGAGAGAGAGAGAAGGGATCGTTATATGGAAGGCAGAGATGAGTGCAGAAATCTAAGGGATGAGATTTAAAAACGGGTTTACGAAGAAGGAAGGATTGGGGAAGGTGAGAACCAGAGCTAACAGAAGAAAAGTGGGAACCCAGTTCAGTCGTGACCTGCACTGGGTCCGCCACAAGAGTACCATGGAGGTGAAGAACCGGCGAGGTATCTGGAACGAACTTACCCGCAATCTTGCGGATCTTCTTCCAGATCTGCGGTAGAGGAGATCTGCGGTAGAGGAGATCTGCGGTAGAGGAGGTCTGAGGTAGAGGACATTACGAGCCTGAGAAGTCATAAGAGGAACAGTATTCAGCGACATGGAAACGAGAGGTAATACTTTCATTGACGAATGTGCTCTCGTACCCACCACAGAGCCACAATTAGAGGCAGGGCACCCAACAAGAGACATGTTGCCGATCATGCCAGGGGCTCCCTTAGGGGAGTGTGGGAGGATGAGACCAGGGCGGCCAAGGTGTGTGTGTGTGTGTGTGTGGGAGCATGAGAGCGGGGGGCCAAGGTGTGTGTGGGAGCATGAGAGCGGGGCGGCCAAGGTGTGTGGGTGTGTGGGAGGATGAGAGCGGGGCGGCCAAGATGTGTGTGGGTGTGTGGGAGGATGAGAGCGGGGCAGCCAAGGTGTGTGTGGGTGTGTGGGAGGATGAGAGCAGGGCCTCCAAGGTGTGTGTGGGAGGATGAGAGCAGGGCCTCCAAGGTGTGTGTGGGAGGATGAGAGCAGGGCGGCCAAGGTGTGTGTGGGAGGATGAGAGCAGGGCGGCCAAGGTGTGTGTGTGTGTGTGTGTGGGAGGATGAGAGCAGGGCGGCCAAGGTGTGTGTGGGAGGATGAGAGCAGGGCGGCCAAGGTGTGTGTGGGAGGATGAGAGCAGGGCGGCCAAGGTGTGTGTGGGAGGATGAGAGCAGGGCGGCCAAGGTGTGTGGGAGGGTGAGAGGGGGGCGGCCAAGGTGTGTACTAACCTAATTGTGCTTGTGGGGGTTGAGCTCTGGCTCTTTGGTTTCGCCTCTCAACTGTCAATCAACAGGTGTACAGGTTCCTGAGCCTATCGGGCTCTATCATATCTACACTTGAAACTGTGTATGGAGTCAGCCTCCACCACATCACTTCCTAATTCATTCCATTTGTCAACCACTCTGACACTAAAAAAGTTCTTTCTAATATCTCTGTGGCTCATTTGGGCACTCAGTTTCCACCTGTGTCCCCTAGTGCATAATATCCTCTTGTGTTAAATAGCTTCTCTTTATCTACCCTATCAATTCCCTTGAGAATCTTGAATGTGGTGATCATGTCCCCCCTAACTCTTCTGTCGTCCAACGAAGTAAGGTTTAATTCCCGTAGTCTTTCCTCGTAGCTCATACCTCTCAGCTCTGGTACTAGTCCGGTGGCAAACATTTAAACCTTTTCCAGTTTAGTCTTATCCTTGACTAGATATGGACTCCATGCTGGGGTTGCATACTCCAGGATTGACCTGACATATGTGGTATACAAAGTTCTGAATGATTCTTTATATAAGTTTCTGAATGCCGTTCTTATGTTGGCCAGCCTGGCATATGCCGCTGATGTTATCATCTTGATATGGGTTGCAGGGGACAGGTCTGGCGTGATATCAACCCCCAAGTCTTTTTCTCTCTCTGACTCTTGAAGAATTTCATCTCCCAGATGATACCTTGTATCTGGCCTCCTGCTCCCTACACCAATCTTCATTACATTACATTTGCTTTGGTTACATTCTAACAACCATTTGTTCGACCATTCCTTCAGCTTGTCTAGGTCTTCTTGAAGTCTCAAGCAGTCCTCCTCTGTCTTAATCCTTCTCATAATTTTGGCATCGTCAGCAAACATTGAGAGAAAGGAATCAATACCCTCCGGGAGATCATTTACATATATCAGAAACAAGATAGGACCGAGTACAGAGCCCTGTGGGACTCCACTGGGGACTTCACGCCAATCTG